AAAGATATAAGAAACAAAGTTATTTGTTTTGCAAAAATAAAAAATGTTGCACGTGTTAAAGTGAAGAAGCCAACAAGTGAACTACAGGTCATCTTTCCATATTTTTTAAACTAAATCATTAAGACTATATTAGGAATATATCAAATACAATTAAATTGAATGGTGATTTGTCATAATTTTAGTGGGTAGGAATAATTGTAGGAATAAAAGGTAGGAAGCAATTTAATTTCTCTTTCTAATTAGTTAATTAAGCCGTAGGAATTGGTGTGCCGTGTCACGTCACATTAGCTACATCTATTCAAAGTTTGGGGACCGCATTTTACCACAAGATTTTTTTGTTTTATGTAAAACTAAATTTCATTTCTAATAAAACTAAAATTTACATTAAATTTAAAAAGACAATTACAGTTCAAATTAAAGAAAATAATATATATATATATATATATATATATATATATATATATATATATATATATATATATATATATATATATATATTGAATTAAAATAAAAAACAAGACACTTTAAATTAAAATATAGAAAACATAAGAAGAAACTTGAAATTAAAATAACACAGCGAAATATAGATGCCATTTTTTGGACATTCTCAAAATTTGCCAAACTCTCTAAATCGGAAATGTTTGTTAGTTTCTGCAGAGCACGTTTGAAAAGCATTTGCTAGCATCATTGCATCATTTTCACCATTTATTGAAACATGCGTAATCCTACAAAATACACTTTGAAACTATAGTGTCAACGAGTTTGTTGTTCTCCATTTGATGAAAATTTGATCTTTACTTCGATGGCGTCATTTATCTGCTTCGTGATTGTATTTTTGTATGATTCTATTCTAGAATGAAGGCCCATATATAGTTGATGTGATTTGGATATTCATTGACATCCACTCACACAGGATCTAGAATCATCTCTACGTTTTTGTTCCAAAAAAAGTGCAATTTTTAGAGATAAATGTTAGAAGATGGTGGAAAATAAAGAAGGTTAGGAGAGATGAATGTAGAGGGTCAAGTGTCATGCAAAACAAAGAAAATTATTGTTATTTATAGTAGTTGATGAATGGTTTAAAACTTACAATTTTGAAAAAAAAAATTATATTTTGAAAAATACGGTATTTTTTTAAAAAAGGAAAACAAAAGAACAATTTACACACTCTCTCCTCTACACCAATTTGCCGAGTTAGGCCACCGAACAACTTTGGATGTGCCGAGCTCCTTGCCAAACGACTCGGTCCAGCCTTAAGAATTGATTTGTCAAAATCCACCAATTTAAGATAAAATGTTAAGGATGTAGAATTTAGTCGTTGCATAACATTTTAAAATTAAATACTCACCAATTAGTTTTTTTAATGGTAGCAGTAGTGCACTTGTAGCAATGCATGATAATAAAATTAACTTTCTCAAATGTGTCCATGTTGAAATCAGCATGGCATATATTTGTCAAGCTTAAAGCTATCAAGATCCGACCACCTAAATTACTTTGGGCAAAAGTGTATGGTTGACTAGAATTCACTCGCAATTATTCATTTATTAACGAAGAGTTGTGTATTATCTTCAATTGATTTTAGATGTGTCGAGAGGTGTAGAAAAGGAGTCTCGGATTGGTACGATTTTCTTTTTTGGATCAAACTCCAGCGGTCTTTTTGTTGTTTGGTCTTTTTTTTGACCGAGCTCTTTTCGTTTTAGGTTAGGGTTTTTATATTTATAACTGTTTATTAGGATAGATATTTCCGCATATATACACTATAATTTTTCTTTTTATACATAGTTTGAGAGTTGGTCTTCAATAAATTTATGAAATAAAAGACATTTAGTATTATATCGATTATCAGGGTCTTTTTTTAGACTGGTCTCGATCGTTTTATAGACCCGTATTTTTTTGGTCTGATTTCGTTTTAGATTTGCTTTTGTATCAGTTTTTTTGCAGGACCTAACTCAGTGACTCGCGAGGTGGGTCTATAGTAGGACTCTGTGACTCACGGGGTGTTCGGTATTAGGTATATATGCAAAAGGGCTCTAATGGGCTGGATCCACATTTGAAGTTTTTTACTGTTAGTAGACCATATTTGTAAGAGTGGAGAGTTGAAATTGAAACCCAAGAAATTTTTTAAAGGCCACTGGCATTAAATAGTAAATACTACAAGATATTGGGGGAATATAATTTCACGGGCGCAATTTTATTTTAACAACTACATTTTGGTCTCAAAATTATTATCAACACACAAAAAAAAAAAAACAAAAAAATAAACTGATTATAGAAACATTAATTATCATTAATTTTACTAAACGAAATGACAATTTCACATTTTTTATATTTAATTTCATTGTAGTTTAACTAATAATGAGGGGTATATTAGTAAAATGAATATTTATTTTTAGAAGTACGCTATTATTTTGGGACAAACCAAAAATAAAACATGGATTATATGAGACGGAGAAAGTATTACTTAGAAGTGAGTGTTACAAAGTTATTAAAATTCGCCAATACTAGGGATTGGGAAACTTCATTTCTAATCAACACCCACACTCATGTATTCTCTGAGTCTAGATAATGATCTTTGTACATGTCTATTTATTTTCAAACTCGATACTTATACTTCCCCTGATCAATAATAATATAACGTATATTGTTACTTAAACATAAGTTGCATCACTTTTTGTTCACTCTTAAATATGCTTTTGAGCACATGTACTAGCATAGTGAAAATGTGTCATCGAAAACAAAATAGCACTCTGGTAACCCCGCAATAAAGGCAAGATAACATTTACTCCATGACCTAGATGGAGATGAGTATTTAATTTGCTAGGTTGCTAGCCGGGTATGGGTGTTATAAACACTCAATGTGAAAATACACAATATCAAATAATACATAATAAGGAGTTTTGTACAAAAGTATTTTCAAAAAATATATACAAAAGTATTGTACTTTTAAAAGTATTTACATAAAAATAGTAAAAGAATTTTTTTTTATGGAATGTGGCCCCGTATGTTTATAAGAAAATAATAAAAAAATAAAATAATTCCTTGCCGGTTACCATCTTCATTTGCCGGAAACATAAGTAATATACAAAAATATCAATTGACTGCTTTCCGGTAGCTACAATTGTTGGTGGAACGGAGGGAGAAGCAATGGTTCATTGACGAGTGTTCGTAAGTTTTGTGAGTGGGATGATAGAAAGCTCACGTGGTGTAATGGGTTCTCGCTTGTGGTTATCCAGGCTCACAACAGTAACTCTCGTCTTGATTTCATTATTCTCCAGCATATATTTTTCCATATATTGAGTTTTCATCATCAATACATAAAGAAACTCCATGGTACCAATCTTGATCATTCGATAACCGAAAACGAGAATGGTGCCAATGTTCATCGTTCCATTCGTCGGAGATAGCCCCTCCAAGTCTCTAACTATTGAACTTGCTCGTTCCCCCACACGCGCAGGTGTTGAACGACTACTTCTACTGCACCGGTGAATGATCTACATCCTTCTGTGTTGTGGAACGTTTGGTGTGCCATGGACAAACACATTCCTGCTTAACGGTGAATCCCGCATCACCCATACACATCACCTTCACATATGAATGCATCTTCCTCCGATGCCTCAATAGTTAAAAGCATTGTGGGGTTATGCGTAGTGGATTTGGGTAGTTTGATGAACTTTGCCTAAAACCTTATCCGGATCATTGAGGGTACCTTCTAGGTTGAAAGAGTACCTATAGGAAGAGCTATAGCCATATCGGTGTTAGTTGTCGATCTTTCTAGATGACTGTGTAACACATGGTTTGCAGGCACTTCGGTGTTCGTGGGTTGGAGTGATGTTGGTCCCTCGTTTGTGGCCATCACAAACATCACGTGGGAATCGGGAGGTGTATATGTAGAATTGGCACCGTTTGTACCAATCCTGAACGACACTGCGAGGTACTTGTACTTTGCAAAGTCGGAGTAGCGAAAGTGGAATCACGAGTTTGGTGTTTCGGGTGGAAGTCATGAGCCACTTAGAGCATTCGGTTGGCCGTGCACACAAGTAGTGAACGAGGTGTTTCTCTTGGGTTAGGTAGCACTAAGAGACACTTTTCTATCAATCGGTTGGATAGATATAATAAAATGTTGAACATGTAGCAAAATGTTGGTTGCATATTAAAAGGTTGAATATATAACAAGGGTTGGTTATTAATAAGAGGTTGAAAAAAATTAAAGGTTGCTTAAATATGAAACGTGATTATTTATATGTTATGCGGTTGCTTATGTGGTATTTGGTTAATCATATATGTTATGTGGTAGAATTGTGGTTAAACATATATGCATGTATGCGGTTGAATATGTGATTTAATAATTATGATATGCGGTCATTTTATAAGTGGTATTTGTCTATTAGTTTTATGCTTCATCATAAAATGAATGATTTATCCATTTGGGGTTTGTATGTTTTATGTGCAACTTTATGAACTCACTCAGCAGGGGCTGACACTTGCATCTTTTCTTTTTTGTGCCTTATGATTGGTGCAGGCAGTTTAGAAGATTGATATTGGTGAGAGGGGTTCTTATGGGTAGTAGATTTATAATAACAATACTAATCTTGGATATGTTTTTGATTATTTACTTTAAAGTACTTTTGTTTACATTTTAAATGGTTTGGAATTATGTTTAAAATTTTGAAGTAACGTTGTGGTTTTGCAGATGTTTTGACTTAAAAACTAAGTCTTCCGCTAACATATTCTGTTAAATAAATATTTTTTTTTAAATTCTTGGTAAAAACCACGACGTTACAAGGATGGTATCAGAGTCATGTTGTGAGTGAACTGAATACAAATGTCGGTGTTCAGACTCAAATCTTAGATGGCTCAATTAGGACCTTTACGTATTTAAAAAAAAAAAGGGGGGGGGGGGGGGGGAGGGTGTCTGTTGAGTGTTGTAGGATCATTGCTTATAAACTTTCCCTCCTAATATTTGTATATCCATCTAAAAAAACTCTTTTTTAATTAGGATAATGTCGAACGCTGAGGAGAATGTGAATGTTGGAGGAGCGGGCGGCAGCCAGAACAACCGCACTCCTGGGACACCATCGTTCATGTTTCAAACCCCACCCATTAACTGCCAGCCACGAGCCCAACCATCGCAGAGTGCATGCAGTACTGCGAGTGTCGCCATCATTGCCGACCTTCAAGAGCAACTCCAAGAGCGGGATAGGACGTTGGAGCAGATGTGGCAGGCGATGCATGCCACCGGACTATTGCCACCTGAGGGTCAGAATGAGGGTGGAGATCAATCGTTTGATGATGAGGTACATAGTCGTTCCGTTCCAAGGAAGGAGGTCATTGGAGCTGTCAGACGCCGAGGGATCTCATTCAAAACCTTCATGGACTGTAAGCCACCTACCTTTGAGGGAGGAGAGAGTGTTGTAGCATGCCTTCGTTGGATTAGGAAGATGGACCAAACCTTCCGATCTCGTGAATTTAATGAGGACCAGAAGGTGATTTATACGGTGCGAACGTTTGACAAAGAAGCACTCGAATGGTGGGACACTATTGACACACGGCTCACTGAGGTCACTCGGAGGGCTATGACTTGGGAAATTCTTAGTAAGAAGGTGAAAGATCATTTATGCAGTGAAGGTAGTATACAACATGCCCAAGGGGAGTTTTTGAATCTTCAGAATGGTAGCATGACGATTGCTAAGTATAACACCACCTTTATTGAGAAGTCACAGTTCGCTACTAATTACTGCCCGACTGAGGAGAAGTTGAATCATCACTATGTGGAGGGGTTACCATTTGATTACCGTGTAGTTGTGAGATTAAAGACCACTTTAGTCGAGGCCATGGATGAGGCTCGCAAGATAGAGAATGATATAGCTATTCGGGATCGTACCACAACCAAGTGGGAGGATCAATCGGGGTCCTCTGAGAAGCAGAAATTTCAGAAGAAGGGTGAAAAATCAACATTTTGTAAGAAGTGTCACTCTTCTCATGGAGGTCCATGTAGTAGTAGTACCAAGAGTTGCAAGCGATGTGGTAAGGTGGGGCACCGTTATGAAGATTGTAAGAGTGTTGAACCTATGTGCTACAACTGTCATCAAATGGGACATATCAGTATGCAATGTACCAACCCCAAGGTCCAGATGGGAGCTAGTGAGAAGAAAGATGAAGCGCCAAAGGTGAAAGCTCGTGCTTTCAATATGACAACTGATGAGGTAATTTTTGGGAACCCTCTTAGTTAATTCTATACATGTTTATGTGTTATTTGTGCTTTTGTGTTATTTGATGCTAATGATAGTAAGTAGTTGGTATCATTGCATTTATGTAGTCATTTATGGTGTGCTTCAGACCCCATTAGTTGCGATGTAGACATTGATGTCGCTATGTTTGATTTAGTCATAATGCGTGAAAAGTTTGATTTGTGTGATATCTCTTTTGGTGAACACGCTTTTATTTTGACATTGATTTGTGATGGAGTTTAACACAAAGAGACGACATAGGAATAATAAGAAGCATAGACATAGAGATTCCGAGAACGGAATCTTTTTAAGGAGGGGAGAATTGTAACAACCCGAAAATCCTATCGTAAACAACGTTAGTTGTTCTGTTACTCGAAGAACTATTTATGCAAAGTATTTTAGCCTTTTGAGGTTAAAATGGAATTAATTAACTAAAAGTAGTATTATTTAATATCTAAAAGAATTAATAAAAATTAAAAGGTGTGTAATTTAATGAAATTGATTTGTGAAATTATTATGGTAAATATAATTCGTTTTAATGGGGTAATTGGGTTGAGGGACTCAAATGTCATAAAATGAATCTAATTTGTCAAGATAACTAGGGTTAATATAAAAGGGGTTCAAATGCAATTGAAAGAAACTTGTAATGTCATGTAATCTAGGGTTGGGGGTATAAGGAGATCATGGCTAAAATTTAAGGATTTATTAGCAAAAATAGAATTGCAACTCCCATACTCATGGATCGTCAGGTTTATGAGTTTGAAGGGGACCGTGCGTTTCTTTTATCCCATCACGTACGCTTCCAACATCCTCCTTCCTGCATCCTTGGACTGCAATCCACGACCATAGAGAAGAAAAAAAAAACGTTAGCGATTTAGGGTGGAGAAGGGAGGAACGAACCGAGGAAAGAGGGGGGTAGGAAGGGATGAAATTGTCGGTTGTGGAGGCATAGTAGACTTGTGAAATCGATTCTAATCTTGGTAAAAATTCTTTACTTCTTACTCTTCTCAAGTTCATATCTCAATTTCTTGAGAATAGGTGGAATTGGCGAGTCAATTTGGTGTTGTTAGTCATACTTCTTTTAATCTTCGATCTTGTGATTTTATGTAATCAAACTCCATCCATGTTTGATCGAGTCTTGATGGCTAATTTCTGTCAAAACTTGGTTATGAACACCCACAAGAATTCTTAGTTCATGTTCATGTATTACTCCATGTTTTAGAGAACTTGTTTTCTTTGTTGATTACTAATTTGAACCTTGGTGTGAGGATTAAATTGCTATTAATATTTTTTGACAAGTTTCTAGTGTTAAGAACTCAATTTTTATCTTTATGGATGCTTTTGGTTATGACTTAATAGGTTAAGTGGTCAAAAATTCCGTGCCATTCAAAGCTGGAAAATTCAGCAAAATTACCAATCTATCCCTGTTTTCAAAAAATATATAGAAAAATAATTAGAAGTGGGATTAATGATCTTTAAATTCTAAAAGTTTTAAATTTGAGTATAGTTTGTTCATGAATGTTTCCAAGACCTGTTGTTGCCTTCAACTTAGGTGAATATCACATTTTTCACTTACTGGTCGGAAATTAACTGTACGGATAGAATGTTTTGTAAAAATCAAATAAAATTGTAGAAAAATCGTTTGGAATTTTAAAAATACTTTCTGAAAAGCTAAAAGTATGAAATATTGGAATATAAAAAAATATTGTATAATTTGCAGTCCTTGGTGGTGTTAAAATGGCTTTGAACAGGTGGTTGTTACAAGTCAAAATCTGGAACTTTGTTCTAAACGTTCGTCTGTATGTTTAGGCATTCAACTCTCAACATTTTTGTGTCATATGTTTGATATTCTCATAAAGTAAACAATTGATGTTTTAATACTTTCATTCAATCCTTTTGTGTGTAAAATTGAGTGACTAAAATCCTTTACCTAAAGTCTTAAAGCATATGGTGATTTTGGTGAATGATGGAATTTTGCCCAACAACTTTTCCCCATCTTGCGAGAGCTATATCTACTAATGTGGGAAGAATTGGAAGATGCTCCTGTCTCATGAAGTTCTAGAAAATCGAGTCTAGTTTCCAGAATGTCTGATGTGATCCCAAATGGATCTGTAGATTAGGTTTTATGCTTAAAACACTGAACGGGGGTCGGGCAAGGAAAATATAAAAAAATTAATATAAAAGTTAGAATAAAGTTGTATTTTTGAAACATATAATTTATTTGTTAATTGAATGTTATGAGTGGTGTTTAGGTGGATCCTTGAGAACTTCAAGTAAGTTCAAGACTTGGAATAGAAGGAAGATTTCATCAAGGCTAAAGGTGAGTTCATAGTTGTAACTCACTAAGGTTGCATTATTGAAACGTATAATCCGTAGATGGTGATTTGATTCACTTTAGGATAACCATGTCATTACTTGCGCTTGATGATGATATGATAATTGTGATGCTAATATATGATTTGTGTTAATGCCATGTTATGACCTAATTGCTATGTTTCTTACACTTTGATAACCTTGATGTATATAAGATGCTACCTGAAGTTGCTTGAAATATGATGGATGGTTGTGTCTTGATGTGTTGGTTATGAATACATTGCTTGTTTAATAAACATTTATATGGTATGAATTACAATCTTTACTTAATGTATAAATGACATTGCGGGGTTATGTGTAGTGGGTTTGGGTGGTTTGATGAACTTTGCCTAAAACCTTATCCGGATCATTGAGGGTGCCTACTAGGTTGAAAGAGTACCTATAGCAAGAGCTATAGCCACATTGGTTGTTACTTGCCAGTCTTTCTAGATGACCGTGTGAGACATGGTTTGCGGGAACTTCGGTGTTCGTAGGCTTGAGTGATGTTGGTCCCTCGTTCGCGGCCAGCGCAAACATCACGTGGGAATCGGGAGGTGTATCCATAGAATTGGCACTGTTTGTACCGATCCTAAAGGACACTGCAAGGTACTTGTACTTTGCAAAGTCGGAGTAGCGAAAGTGGAGTCACGAGTTTGGTGTTTCGGGTGGAAGTCATGAGCCACTTAGAGCATTCGGCTGGCCGTGTACACAAGTAGTGAACGAGATGTTTCTCTTGGGTTAGGTAGCACTAAGATACACTTTTCTATTAATCGGTTGGATAGATATAATAAAAGGTTGAACATGTAACAAAAGGTTGGTTGCATATTAAAAGGTTAAATATATAACAAAGGTTGGTTATTAATAAAAGGTTGAACAATTAAAGGTTGCTTAAATATGAAATGTGATTATTTATATGTATGCGGTTGCTTATGTGGTATTTGGTTGATCATATATGTTATGTGGTAGAATTGTGGTTAAACATATATGCATGTATGCGGTTGAATATGTGATTGAATAATTATGATATATGGTCATTTTATAAGTGGTATTTGTCTATCAGTTTTATTCTTCATCGTAAAATGAATGATTGACCCATTTGGGGTTTGTATGTTTTATGCCCAACTTTACGAACTCACTCAGTAGAGGCTGACCTTGCATTTTTCTCTTTTATGCCTTATGATTGGTGCAGGCAGTTTAGAAGATTGGCATTGTGAGAAGAGATTTTATGGGTAGTAGATTTATAATAACGATACCAGTCTTGGATACGTTTTTGATTATTTACTTTAAAATACTTTTGTTTACATTTTAAATGGTTTGGAAATATGTTTGAATTTTTGAAGTAACGTTGTGGTTTTGAAGATGTTTTGAATTAAAACTTAGTCTTCTGCTAACGTCTTCTGTTAAATAAATATTTAAAATCACGGCGTTACAAGTATATAAATCAAGCTGAGTCATTGTTGCTGTCTCAAAGGTTCCACATTATTCATCAACTTCAACACCTCCCAAGAGGACCCAAAGAACTATAAATGTTGTTATTTATTCATCCTTCTGTTGTTAGTGTTTTAATCTTTCTATAACTTGCAAGAAGATCCTTGGTGAATATAAAATGTTTATGTTATTTCAAAAATTAAAGTTTTTCGTTGCCATATTTTTCAAGTTTATGAAACTATTTTTGAACTAAAACCCAACAATTGGTATTAGAGCCATCTTGAACGTTTGATTAGATTTTTTGATTTTTGGAAATCTTGGTTTTTGGAGAAGGATAGCTTGTTTTTGTATAAAAATAAGTTCATACATATTTTTTTTTGTTTTTTTATATGACAAAATTTCATGAAAACAAAGGTTGTTTGATGTGTATATATTAATGCATATAATGTGCATAAACTAACCAACGACCAATGTGTTCTTATGTTGTTATGTTGGTTATTTTTGTTATAAAATGGTTGTAATAATTTATTTATTCACATGGTATGTAATAATTAAATAGATTAACTTTTCTTTGTTATTTTTGTAAAGTAGTAGATTAGTTTTTAGAAATAATTCATTTGTATAAAATATAACAAGAAATCAAGTTGAAACAATTTTTGGAGACAAAAAGAGCAATTTTTAAGTCTAAAAGGTGTGCAAGATTTTCAGTGACATTTTCTAAAAAGTGTCACTAATGTTGTTCATAAAGGGTTGTTGGCTTTTAGCGATAGTTGCTAAATTTTAGCATTCAAGAAGTTTTTCCAATCTTTTACAAGCAATGTGTATTTACTCAAATGAGAGATTCTTCAACAACGTTACAAGAAGATCTTAGTACCCTTAAATGTCCTTTTAGGAATGGGCTTGACATTTTTGTATTGGCTCACAAAAATATAATTAGTTGGTTATGTTTATACACATATCTTTTTATGCATGTTTGTGTTCTTTATTTTATGCAATTATTATGTGTGGTTGATAAATTAGTTTTTCACATGCTAAAATATATTTGGACAAAACATCACATGGAGTTTCGGTTTTCAAAATTAGATATAAGATGTAATAAGTTATTATTTTAAAATAAAACTTGTTTTATAAAATCGTTAATAACGACAAATTTTGAAATACTCCTTTATAAGTTTTAAAATGGTGATTTTTATAGCTTATACAAACTCCAGATATATAAATAA